CCCCTGTCGCACCCTCCTCCCCCACACCCCCCCCCCGCCACATGCAGCTCCGAGAGGAGGGGGCGGTGTTGGGCTTGTGAGACTGGGAGACCCTGCCACTCCCTGCCCAGGCGGGGAAGGGGAGCTCCTGTCCGGGTACTCCATTTCCCCCTTCCTACCGCCCAGTTCCCGAGGGCTGATCCTAGCCCGTCCCTCCCCCACGGTGGAGCAGCAGACCGAGGCGATCAGCTGTCGCTGGGCAGACAACTGGCTGCAGGAGGGCAGGGCCCAGAGAGGGAGGGGCAGTGGGGGCTCCTGGGGACAGGCCCTGGGTGGCACCCGCAGCAGTCCACCTCGCAGACCCACTTGGGCCTCCAGAAGGGTGTGGGGGATTGCAGGGGCTCACTACAAACGAGGGTCACGCCCCAGAGTAGCTAGACCTGGAGGTGACGGAGGTGGAGATGGCGAGGGCTCTCGCTAGACAGGCCTTTGCTCGTCCTTCCTCCCAGTGAAGAGGGCAAGGACGCTGCACTCCGGGCTGGGCCGGTTTTCCTGCAGGGGCTGAGCAAACTCATCTTTATATTTAGAGGGTGACTCCTGCCAGGGAGGCTGCTGCCCAGGCCCCACGGAGTCACTGCGCTCCGGGCCTGCTGCAGAAGCTATTTATACACTGCCGCTGCCGTCTAGGGGCCTCACGGGCAGTCCGGGGTCTACAGCTGCGGTGGGAGTTGGCCGGATCAGCAGAGGCCAGCCGGTTGGTGCTGGTCTTGTTTTGGGGGTGGGGGCAGGGGCAGCGCTAATGTGGCTGGGAGACAGAGAACCCACCTTCCATGAGGAGCTCAGGGACATGCTTCCAGGGGTGCATCATGATGGGGTACCGGCCAGAACGTGGTCATTTTCCTGATGTGCTACTGTTCCTAAAATCGCCACAGTTCCTATCTGGCATTGCAGCCAGGCAGCTGGGACAGGTGCGGCTTGAGGTGTGACGCCCCTCCTTGGTGGCCCACGTTCCAGTGGCTCCTCCTGACAGTGAGCAATTCATGAGGGGCCTGTGCGAGAGCTTCCAGTGACCTTGGAGAACTGCCTTTCATTTAACACCCAGTGCCTGTGTCGGCAGGTGGTGGAGACACTAGGGAGACCAAGCCGGCAGACACATCTCGCGCGCCCGTGTGTGCGTGTGTGTGTGCATGTGTCGTTGAGGGAAACAGCTTAAATCTGGCCTGAAGGCAGGGAGAACAGTGCAGTCCCCACTGGCCGCCCGCAGCTGTGCTGAGGTATGACAGGGAACAGGACTCCCGGCAGCCTGCCTCTCCCACAGCAAGCCTGTCCACGCACACCCAGGAGGGGCTGCCTGGCGAAAACCCCTCGAGCTAACAGATCTGCCTGTGCAGCTCTTGTGAGATGGTCCCAAACAGGCCAGTCTGGACATCTGCTCTGTCCACGTGACTGGGCTTATATAGTCCCTGGCGGGACACCAAAGGCCACCCCTGTCCCCACCCCATTCTAGCCCTGCCGAACTCTCATTGGCTGAGAACAACCCGAACCAGTGGGTGAAGAGCCTGTCTCCATACAAGTACACCTCGGGAGCCCCGCTGGGCACTGCCGGCCTCCTGGGAGGCAGTGTGGAACAGCCATGTAGGGTGCCGACGCCGGGAGCCCCGCTGGGCACTGCCGGCCTCCTGGGAGGCAGTGTGGGACAGCCATGTAGGGTGCCGACGCCGCTCCTGCTCCCTTTCCAGGCGCAGCCTCGGCTCCACACCCGCTGCCAGGACCTGGGCTACCACCCCGCAGGTGTCCCTCAACTCCGCACACGCCTGGACCCCAACCTTGCTCGGGCGCAGCTTTCTCTGGTTTCCTGTCAATTTAAACATAAACTTGTACATTCCGTAAGAGTTAATTTTTCAACGAACTCTCCCAACTATCCCGAGATGAATAAAGTAACTGTCATCCCAGCTTCGGTAGAAAGAAAACCCAGGCCCACTGGGTTGGACCCATCCCAGGTCCCTCGCAGCCGGTGCAGACACAGGAGCCTGGGGTGGCTTCCCTTGGGCTTCCCATCTGTCACCTCCAACGTGGCTTGGTTCTGGAACTGGCAGATCCCCAGGGAGCTTTCTAAGGAAGAGCCAAGGCACCCGAAATGAAGTCAGGTCTTCACTAGCAAAGACCTGGTCTATCGCCTCAAACAGGCGTGCGAGGACGGCTGGCTGGCTGCACCAGAAGTCAGAGCCGTTCGGACAGTAGGTGGCAGCAGGGAGGAACACGCCCCTCACAGGCCACACCGTCAGGTCAACTCCTGGCAGAGGGAGGCCGTGGGTTCTCACTCCTGCCTTCCTCCTGTGGGTGGTGGGCTTCACACTCATGGCCATCTCCACGAGCCTGAGCCCTTGATGGAGCAGGGCCCCCCGGCACCCCCTGGGCACCCAGTATAAGACGGTGCAGGGCCTGTGCTCTGGGGCCGTGGCCGCGCTACCCAGCCTTGCCGCTCCCTCTGACTGACTGCGTGACTTGGACCATCATTTCCAGGAAGTCTCAGTGTCACTGACTGATGGCACTTCCTGCTCCATGAGACTGACTCGATGATTGAAACAAGGTGGCTGGGGCACAAGGGGCAGCCAGCAGATGGCACACCGCCCTGCGGTGACGAAGGCTTTGGAGGTGTGGTGAGGCGGCAGGAGAGGTGTGGGAAGAACACTAAGTCACTGGGATGCACATCGATGCCATCCCAACCGACAGCAGGAGCCAATGGCAGTATTTTCTTTTTCTGTTTTAATTTGCTACAGGCCACATGTACTTGCTGGAGACAGAGAGAATCTCCCAGGGAGATGGCCCCACCGCAATCTCTTCTCCTCTGTTCTCCTCTCAGGATTTTGGGCATGCGTGCCCAAGTGCCTAGTGTTTCCTCAAGCTGCTGGTCCAGGACTCGAACCACATGAGATCCAGCCGCCTTAACCACCAAGCCATCAGCTGGCCCGAGTCAATATTATTTTAAATGTATCTTGATTGCACAGTGACTTTTGTACAAAGGGTTACACTAGCATTATTTAAAATAGCAAATAAAACACAACTCACGTATTTTAATCTTTTAGACAGTGTGAAGTCCAGGCAGTGAGAGCTGCAAATTAACTGTGGTCCAGCTTGGCGTGCCAGTGTCAGGCCAGCATGAAAAATCGTGTCTCTGAGACCAGCAGTTAGAGTAATGGCTATGTCGCTGAACTCCCATGTAGCCGACCGCGGTTCAAGCCCTGGACCCGATGGCTTAAACTCACACCGGGCACGTGTGCGTATGTGCCCAAGATCCGGAGAGGAGTATGGAGGAGACGGGATTGTGGCATGGCCTTCCCCCCGGGGGGTGATTTCTCGCTTTCTATCTCTGTCTCTCTGTCTTTCTGGCAAGCACATGCACCTTCTAGCAGGAAAAAAAGAACAAAAACGAAAACCTTTCCAAAAAAAAAAAGAAAAAAGAAAAAAAATTCGTGTCTCAGGGTATATCTAAGACATGCATTCTCAGAGGGGGCAAAGTTGGCTCTTAGGGAACAAGAACCAAATGTTATATTGGTTTGTGGTCTCCAAAGGTCGCACACAGGAAGTGTGTGGCACTAAACTTTCTTTGGGGTGGAAAGCGATTAGGAAAGTCTTAAAAGGTGATAATGAAAAAAAAAAAAAAGGATGGCTGAAAAATACTGAATTAAGGATAGAGAAATACAGTATCTGAGTAAAGCAGGTTATAAAGTAAAATAGTATATACTGTCCGAATCTAAGATGTATTTCAAAACCGGAGCTGAAATTCTCTCTGGCTGGTGGTATTTCAGGAGACTGCTTTCTTTGTTTCCCTTAACTGACAGAGGGCACATGTGCTCGCCAGAAGAAAGGGAGAGACAGCGCCTCCCCGTGGTGTGCTCACGCCTCAGTCCCTTCTCCTCCATTTCTCCTTCCTGCGGGCACCCTGGGTATGGACACACAAGTACCCAGCGTGTTTTTCAAGCTGCCAGGTCTGGGACTTGAACTGCAGTCAGACATGTGGAAAGCCAGTGCCTTAACCTCCACACCTCCTGCTGGTCCCTATTATTAATACGTTTAAATGCATTTACTGAGTGGGACTTTTTATACAGGAATAAATGAAGTTATCTCGTCTTCAGGCATTCTCAGGATGAAATGCCAGAAGCAGGCAGGGGGCCTGCAGGCAGCCTTGGGCTGTGCGGGCACGTGGGCTCAGAGCACATGTGTGCCGGTATTGGGGAGGACAGGGGACCCACGCAACACTGCCCAGCTCCTACAGGCAGTGCAGAGCATGTGGCAGGTGGCAGGGTAGGAAAGCTACGATTCAGACCCCAGAAAACAGAAACAAGACCCACCCAACCTTCCATGGCTGTCTCAGGGGTTGGAGGGTGGTGCTGTGGTAAAACATGATCCCGCGAGGCTGCGGCTAGCCCGGTGCCTGTGCCCTGCCGATTCCTTCCTCTTGGGGATGGAAGCTGCTCTTCCAGACATGCTCAAGAGCTGGACTTGAAAACTACAGGACAGAGGGCCCATGGCGGGAATCACGATAGAGAAACCAGGAGCCGGACTCTTCACCTTTCACTTGTGGCCCTTACAGCTGCTGGAGCGAGCTGGTGAGGGAGCCCAGGACTGAGCCGAAGTGAGGACATGCCAGCAACGCGCTGCTCAATCTCTGGCCTGTACTTAAAGCCAGATAAATGCCGAGCCATGACACAGGCCAGGACAGAGTAGAGTCCCATCAGCCACTAGGCAAGCCTACAGCAGTTCCTAGCATTACACATGCTTTCGACTGGGATGGCTGGACTCGGTGAAAATCATTCTGAAAATACACAAGGCTGACTGAATTTCATACCGGCAGAGTATGGATGACGAACACTGAATCTATAAACTTATTTTCAATGGTAACTTACAGATAGGTTAGAAATCCAGGTAAATATTTTATTCACAAAGTACTTCCATTACTACTCATTTATGTAGACGTTCCAGTGCTTCCCATGTGTTGGTCTGTTATCAAGGTCCACGGGTCAGGGAGCAGGCCTGCCCTGCCCTGGTTTTCAGTCCCAGAGTAAGTCAGCATAATTTGATATTTACTTACTAGAAACTTACCACTAGCCCTAACCGAAATAGATGCCAAATAGCCCAGACTTGCTTAGCTGCACGAGATCCAGAGTCACAAAACTCTCACACAATCTAATGCAATCTTGCAATTTTTCAGCTAAGCTGAGACCTACAGGGATTCATGCATATAAACAGCCAGGAGGACAACTGCTCGGCCCCCGGAGAGGGGGATGCCGTAGAGAGGGAAGGCCGGGGGCCAGCTAGGGGAATGGTGGCTAAGGCGGCCAAGTGCCACATGGCTGACTGTGTGGTTCCATTCCCGGACCTGGTGACTTAGAAACCACATCAGTCATACGCGTGTGTGCCCAAAACCCCAAGAGGAGAATGGAGAAGGGACTGCGGTGTGGCCATCCCCCTGGGCAGTGCTCTCTTACTTTCCCTCTCTCTGTCTCTCTCCGGCCAGCACATGCATCCTATGGCAAACTAAAAAAAAAGAAAAAAAAGGTAGGGTCAGCCTCTGTGGCACAGCTGGTAGAGTACTGGACTGTGGAGTTGGAAGTTACAAGTCAACTGGTTCGAGTCCCTGGCCCCAACAGCCTGAGAGCACTTTGGGCAGATACAGAAAGCGCATGCCAGGGCAGGTGAAGCACAGGGGAAGGGGCTAGTGTGGCCGAGCCCCGGGCACAGCTCTCTCCTCTTGCTTTCTTGGACACATACTCTATCATGAATTTTAAAAAATAAGAAAACAAAAAGTTAGAGTAGCAAGTACAAAACAAACTGATTAATTTCAAAGGAAAAAAAGGGATCATGTAACTGAAAACCAAAATTATGTTACATAATGACTTTATCTTAGCTTCCAAAGTATAAAAAGTCAGCTATACATGTTAGAAACTGTACAAACTTCTCATTGTTAAAGTGTGTACTTACACGAACTTTAGATACAATGACCATTTTTAGAAAGTTATATCTGCCCTTGGACATAATATTCATAATTTGCTTTCAAAATAAACTCAAAGTAAGGATTGGACTTCAAGCTCCCAAGCTGGTCTGCTTGCAGGAGGTCCTTCACCTCCGGTAAGTACTCGCCGAGCCGAATGCCTGTGGATACAAATGCACACCGTCATTTCTTATTTTATAAAACTCAGATGGACTGAGATGGCTGATGACGGGAACACCTGTGCTTCTATTTAAACTATCATGTGATTCTGCGGTTGGGAGATACTCTCTTCCAAATTCCTTCCATCTGTCAAACACACTTTCAAGTCTGACAATACGACGTTCTTCACAGAGGCTGTGTGAGCGTTTCTCCCGGTGGTCAAAATAGCCATTCTATTTAAAGTTTTCAGGAAGATAAGAAATACTTTTATTCTTTTTTTTTTTTCCGCTATAGGGTGTGTGCGCTCACCAGACAGACACAGACAGAGAGACAGAAAGCGAGAAATCACCCCCAATGGGGTATGGCCACGCTACAATCCCTTCTCCTTCATTCTCCTCTCGGGATCTTGGGCACGCACGCACACGTGCCCGGCATGAGTTCTAAGCCAACGGGTCCGGGAAGCGAACTGTGGTCGACTACGTGGGAGTCCAGTGACATAGCCATTATGCTAATTGCTGGTCCCCCGAAATAATTTTATTCTTCATGATAGCTTGAAAATGTACTTTCAGTGAAAGTTTTTAACTAATAATCACTTTCAAACAAGTATTTTCTTTTCCTTTCTTTCTTTTTTCCCCCGTGGGGAGGTTAACTTCTCCAAGCTTCTTCTTCTTCTTCTTCTTCTTTTTTTTAACTTTATTATTATTTTGACCAGAGAGAGAGGGAAAGTGAGAAAACAAGCCATCAGATATGGGACTCGAACCATTGTCAGCCATGTGGGAGTCCTGCACCCTTAACCACCATGCCACCTGCCAGCCCCAGAACAAGTATTTTCCAACGATGACATGTTCCCGAGCTTAGGGAAGCATTTAGTGGAAGCACTGTTGCAAAAGCTCAGGACAGCAGCAAAGTCACATGCTCTCACAGTTTAAGTTCAGTTAGGGAAACAAAAACATTTCTTCACAAAAACCAGTCCTTCAGCTACAGAACTGGAAAGCCAAAGGACGCTGACTATACGATTGTTTATGTCCAGAGCTCTGTAGCTACAAAATTTTCTCATTTGACAAAGAACATGGAAGGAAAACTTTTGAATTAGTAGTACTTTTCATTTGCTACATTATCATAAGTTTCCCTTTTATTTTGAAAAATTTTTACCAGAGGGCATGCGTACTCACCGGAGACACACAGAAAATGAGAAATCAGCCCCAGGGGGGATGGTCACGGCGCAATCCCTTCTCTATTCTCCTCTCAGGACTTTGGACATTCACGCACACGTGCCTGGCATGAGTTTTAAGTTGCCAATTCTGGGACTCAAACCGTGGTCAACTACATGGGAGTCCAGTGATGTAACCATTACATGTCATCTGCTGGTCCCACCAAAAGGTGCTTAAAATCAAATAACTGCTTTTTAAAAGTATATCCTATCCTCAAAGTGTCTAGCACCATATTTTGGTACTTAGTTGTTATTCAATAAAAATCTGATAAATGCTGGGAGGTTAAGTCCAAGATATATATATGTCATTACAATTAATGTACTTCCAATAGAACTTTTCTCTATAAAATAGCATCATTTGTAAAGACACCACATTCATTACTCAAATCAATTCTCTAAAAAATGTCACATTGGAGCCAGCAGATGGCATAGCAGTTACACTGCTGGACTCCCACATGGCTGACCACAGTTTGAGTCTTGAATTCAGTGGCTTGAAACTCATGCAGGGCGCATGTGTGCGTGTGCCCAAGATCCCAGATAGAGAATGGAGGAGAGGAGATTGCAGCGTAGCCGTTCTCCCGAGGGGGAGGGTAATTTACCACGTTCCCTCTCACTGTCTCTGTCTCTCTGTTTCTCCGGCAAGTGCACGTGCCCCATAGCTCGCAATCAATCAATCAATGAAACGTCACATCTTATCTGACTTCTCTTTCTCAAGCATGCGTCTTCTGTGTTAGACCTACTATCTGAAGGCTTCCTTCTTTCCTTTGGAGCAGGGATGAAACTCAAATGCCTGGGGGCTGGCAGGTGGTGTGCTGGTTGGAACGCTGGACTCCCACATGGCCGACCACAGTTCGAGTCCCAACCTGGTGGCTTTCTTACTTTCCTTCTCTCTCTGTCTCTTTCTGGTCAAATTAAAAAATAAAAATAATACTACATAAATTAAATAATTATTTAAAAAAAAAACAAAACTCAAATGCCTACAAAGGCAGGGCAGGAAACGGAGCACCCAGGAGGGCACCTGCCCCAGGGATCTGGATGGCTCAGCCCACTCCCTGGGGCAGGGCAGTGCTCCCCACTCCAGCTGATCAGTGATAGGGGACCATTTCAGTCAGGGTAGGCAAGTCTTCAGTTTATAAAGAGAAGTTAGAAAACAAGCATTCTCTAAGAGTGATCCTCAACTCGTAGCTGTTGTGACTGGCTGGAAAAACGCGAAGCCCCACTAAGGATGTTTTTGCTCATCATGGGTCATGCATGTCAGTGACGTGGAAGCGCAGAGCATGCGGTGACTGTGCAGGTGTCGGCAGCATGAATTCACCCCACAGTCATGGTGACCACTGGGCTGCCCAGGCCACTCAAGTCCAATGTGAGGTCCTCTCTCTGCCTTCAGAGTCTGTCCTTCAAATACACTGATGAGTGCACAGGGAAGCCTCATCATTTAAGAAGTTCCAAAGATAAATGTCTTTAATCTGTTGTTTTAAAAAATGCTCATACTTGTCATTTGCATATTTTTATTTATATAAAAGTTTCTACTAGTATTTGTCCTTTGTTCAAAATTGAGTAATTCTTTTTGTAAAGTTGGGGCTTCCCTTTTCTGTATTCCATCTACTGTTTTTTCTTAAATATTTAATTTAACTTTATGTACTTATTTTAATTTGATCAGAGAGGGACAAAGTGAGAGAGACAGACAGACAGAACGTAAGAAAGCAAGCCACCAAGTCCAGGACTGCAGTCAGCCATGTGGGGGTCCAGCGTCCTTAACCACCACGCCACCTGCCGGCCCCATCTGTATTTCATAGTGAAGCTGCAGTCATCCTTAAACATGGTGATGGGTCTTAGACACAGCTCAGCTCCGTGGCACTTTTACCAGAGACGATTTGGTGGGAGCATCCGATTTGGGTCCAATGTAGATCTAATAGTGTCTGAGGCACAACTGTACTTACGTCTAACAAGTACAGAGAGATCGACCGCATCCAGTTCTTCAACTCCAAACACAAATATGAGAAAGCCTTATGGATACATTTTGGCTCTTTCTGAATTTCAAGTATTCTGGGGCAGAAGATATTTCTTTTTGCTGAATCTCTTCATTTTATTTTTTATTTTTATTTATCTTTTGACCAATGAAAAGATTTAATTCATTTTTTTATGTGCTCATCCTTGAAAAGAAAAGCACCCATTAAATAAATATCCTGTTGGGGCCAGCAGGTGGCATGGTGGCTAAGGTGCTGGACTCCCAAATGGGATATCATGGTTTGAGTCCTGGACCTGGTGGCTTGCTTTTTCACTTTCCCTCTCTTTCTCTTTCTCTCTAGTCAAATTAAGGAATAATAATGATAATAAAAAATAAATAAAACAAATAATTCTTTAAAAATATAATTCAAAAAATAACTATCCTGTCAGTGGGGGGTTGAGCAGGTATTTATTTTTTACAAGGGAAAGTCCAGGCCAATTTTGAGCAAGTTTCAAGCAATCACTTATGTTGAACAGAGCTGGATTTACACTTGTCAGCTATAAGAGAAGACAAAACAGCTGAAAAATACAGTCCCACGTCCCTTAATGCTGAGGCACGTTTTGAGAATGTGTCATTAAGCGACTTAGAGGTTGTGCAAACATCACAGAATGTTCTTACACAAGCCCAGATGGAGTGTGCAAATTCTCATTTTTTGTCTAGCATTCTGTATATTTTAAGCTCCCAGTAATATGAAAGGTCAAAGTAAGTTTTCTAAGGTTCCTCTTCTTACGAACGAAAGGTCAAAGTAAGTTTTCTAAGGTTCCTCTTAAGAACGCCCATTTTATCCATCCAGGCCTTTTTATCTATTTGTATCTTTCTCCGCAAATGGAATTTTGTTTGTTGTCTTATATACAAAATACATAAAAAGCGTTCATTTATTTTTTTCATGTTGTTTCTAACCTACATAACAAAAATGTTTACATCTCAAACTTTTGATCTTCACAAAGCAGTTGAAAAATGAAAGGGAACGATTACTTCCACAGTACTGATTTTCAGTGTCAAAACCAATGCTTGTGTCCCCGGGGCCTGGTGGGCATCCCGGTCTCTCTGGAATCCACACGGTGACTCAAGTCTCCTGGGGAGAGGGAGCTCCACCCTGACACGTGCCCCATGCAGAAGAGGCCCTTCTTTTACTGTGACCAATCTCTTGTTTGACTATGACCCTGCACAAACCACAAGCCTCCCTTGTCCTCTGACACCCTGGCGAATGCCCCGATTCCAAGATCTCAAAATTGAGGAGTAACACTACAATTTCTAATAATATAACAAACGACTTACCATCTTTCAGAAGTTTCTGTAAGATTTTCACAAATATACTGTCTTTAGATACTTCGATTGGATCGTCTTTACCATCTGAACTGGACCAGCTGGAAAACAAGGCCACCGTGAGGGGAAACAAAATCATGGACCGAGCCCGGACAAGTGACGTGTCTGCGACTGTGGCGTGGCTATGACGGCCGGGGGGATGGAGGCTCTGGGTGTTGTGATACGGTCCCAAGTCGCCCAAATTTAGCGGGACATGCTCATGGCCTCTGTGCCGGCTATGCGAGGCCACACGCAATGTGACCACCGTGCATGCGATCTCTAGGACCAAGTTGGGAGGCATCTGCCTGGAGGAGGTTCTGGAGTGACACATCTAGCGTGGCCCCAAGTAAGGCCCGGCAGAGCACAGGCCATAACCACCACGGGTTTCCGCACGTCCTGCTTCTCACAAAGTAAAACGGCACCCCATGTCTGCAGTGACGTACAAAGAGAGGCTTCATCGGGTCGGACTACCTGCGGCCACTCACGCACACGCACACACGCACACGCTCATGGCGGCTGTGTGATCATTACGGATGTCGAACGGGACACTGTACACACGCTCCCAGAAGCCCGGAGAGGAATTCCTGTCAGATGGCAGCATCCTCCCCTGGGACTAGGACGGGGCAGAAACAACAAGTCAAGTGGCCACAGTGCCGGACACAGCAGAGGGTGACTTCTGAGGCCAAATTTAACAGCAGTGTGAACTCTGGGAGTGACCAGAGGAAGGAAGAAGTGCTTTAGCAAAAACGGTTCCATTGCGATTTCTCAGCACCATGGGAGAAAGGAAAGCTGGAAGAGGGTAAGGCTTCTTGCATGCAGGTTGTGCTGCGCTCTTTAAAATGCTTTTCCTGGAAGGAGCATGTCCCTACAGCTGATTATTCCAGGTCTTTGCCATTAAATCTTTACACCATTTCCATGGGTGGAAACCCTCCTCAGTGGGTAATGACCATGTGTCTTCTATTGCTATGGGGCACATGCACTCGGGGGGTGGGGGGGAAAGACTGATAGACTCGTTTCCCCAGCTGGGTGTGTCATGCCGCAATCCCTTCATCCAGTTGGGAATCTGGGCACACACCTGTACCTGGCGATTTTTTCAAGCTATGGGGTTGGAATATAAACTGCAGTTGGTCATGCAGGATCTGGTCCCTTACCTAAAATCAGACCTAATATGGCTGGCCCCTATTAATAAAATAAAACAAAACAAAACAAACCACAGGGCCAGCTCTGTGGTGTGGTGGTCATGCACTGTGTAAGAGAAGCTAGGCCTCACATGGGGACTGCAGCTCAATGGCCATCAACCTAGAAAACTCAGGCATGTGCATGAACACTCAGGATCCAACAGGACTAGGACCAGAAGGAGGGGCTGGTCATGTGACCAGACCCTGTGGAGCGTGCGCCTAACTCTCACTTTCCCGTGTGTGTACTTTCACGCTATCAGGAACAATGGGGGACTGTGATTTCCTATCCCCACAGTGTCTGTCCTTAAAAACATGAACTCTTAGGTCTTACTTTTCATGACGACCTTAGGCAAACTAACAATCTGTATTTTAGAATCAAAAGTAGGGAACATATCAGTAGTACTAAGTCTTTAGCTGTTCTTTAATTATTCAAATGTAGGATTACTGGGGCCAGCGGATGATATAATGGTTATATCGCTGGGCTCCCACATGGCCCACTGGGCTTTGAGTCCTGGACCTAGTGGCTTGAAAATCACACGGGACATGTGTGTGTGCATGCCCAAGATCCCAGGAGAATAGAGGAGAAGAGACTGCAGAGTGGCCATCCATCACAGGGGGTGATTTCTCACTTTCCCTCTCACTCTGACTCTCTCCAGCAAGCACACATACCCTATGACAAAATAATCTCTCTCAAAAAAAAAAAAATTAAAATTTTATAAAACCATTTGACATATGATATATCAGAATCTTCCTAGAGGTGTCCCTTGGGGCCAGCAGATAGGATAAGGAGTTAAGGAAGCTGGATCCAGCATAGCTAAGTGGTTGGAGACCTGGTGGCTTGAGAAACAAGCCAGGCACATGTGCAGGTGTACCCAAAATCCCAAGAGAGGAATGGAAGAGAAAGGACTGTGGTGTGGCCATCCCCCCCAGGGGTGATTTCTCATTTCCCTCTTTCAGGTGTGTGGCTATCCCCCCCAGGGGTGATTTCTCATTTCCTTCTTTCAGGAGAGACACATGTCCTAAACCCAAACAACAACAAAAAAGATGAGTCCCTCTCCAAAACCATTTCTTAGATTCAAGGCAAGAGGTTCTGAGAACTTACTTATCTCTCTGAAGAGCTTTACAAAGGATCTCCAGCTTCAGATCATTTATATTTACATCTTCCTCCTTCACAGCAAAACAAGAAGTCTTGGTTAAATCCTGACTTTAAGAAGGAAATACAGGGACCAGCACTTGGCAAAATGGCTATGTCGCTGGACTCCCATGTAGTTGACCATGGTTCGAGTCCTGGACCCGGTGGCTTAAACTCACGCCAGGCATGTGTGTGTGTGTGTGCCCAAGTTTCCCGAGAGGAGACTAGAGAAGGGACTACAGTGTGGCCATCCCCCCGGGGGGTGATTTCTCACTTTCTGTCTTTCTGTCTCTCTGTCTTTCTGGCAAATGCATGTGCCCTATAGCAAAAAACCTCTCCCAAAAAAAGAATGAAATACATGCTTCAATTCTCTTGTTAGTCAATTCCCAATTCTGCATAAATATTGTTACTTAGTTCATACTCTTAAAACATTTCCCTTTAAATTGTTAATACTCCTTAGAAGAAGAGTAAGTTAATACCTGTGTGCATGAGTTTCTTATTACTCTGTGAAAATCAGATTTCATCTGAGCCCTTGAGAGGGCTCAGATGTTTAAACATGGTATGGCAACGTCAGCATATTATGCTTTTAAAATCTATTGAATCGCCTTCTATTGTTGTAATAGAACTACTTACCCTACAGAATTTTCACTATAATCTCTTGAAAGCTGAGAAACAGTTTCTCTTACAGTAAACACGGTGAAAAATAAACTGACAAAGTACTGGGTCGTCAGAAACGTCATGACGTATCTTCCTGTGTTTTTCTATGCAAATGTGTCATGGCTTTTCTGACGACCCAATACATACCAGATCTAAAAGGTAACTACTTAATATATAAAGAAGAAAAAGTACCTCAGGATTTTGAAAAACAGCACCTTTTTATTGTCCACAGAAGAAGACATGTGGGCAATGCTGAGAATTTACAGGAAGTGCTCCTGACAGCTGCTGTAAGAGTCAGGGGGCCTAATGCAGAGTCCTTTTCCACTGATACGTTTATCATGACTAACACGAGACAGGAGGTATGTCCCCCTCTTTACACGTATTCAGTTCCCCGAGATCCTAAGCGATTTACTTACTTCATCAATATACTCCAGCAGGTCCAGAGCTTTCTTGAAATCATACTCATTAGCTCTTCGATTCTCGTCACAGATATACAGCTGCGGCAGGTTAGATTAAGGACAGAAACGCTTTAAGAGCACAGTTAACGTCACCAGTGCATCTCACACCAAGACGCTCCTCTGTGCTCCGCCGTACCTGGCCCTCCCAGTGGCACCTGAGCTGCTGAGGACAGCACTCGCAGGCCACATACAGCCAGGTCCTTACACTGAAGTTCTAGAAAATAAAGTCACCTGATGGTACATGTTGTCCCGTACTAGAAAAGTGAGATACAAGTACTCTCGGCTGGTCACCTGGGTAACACTGTTGGGAGTGGGGGTGCCTGGAGGGAGAGGCCGATCAACCCCTTTATGCTCCCAAGCAGCCCGCAATGACTTTCTCTAGGGGAAAGCTTCCGAGAAAGCAAGAAGGGGCCCCTCTTAGGAACTACCCTGCTCGGCCCAGCAAACACTGCCAACGTCTGCGTTTCAGAAAGAGGGAAGAATCTGAGGGCACCTACGCCAATGAGCTGCGGTGCGGTCAACACGGGCATGGCTCCGAGGTTCAGCTCTCTCTCGGCCAGCAGCTGTTCGGGCAGCGTCTCCTGGTGCAGCAGGAAGCGCTCCTGCTCAGCCATCTCTAATATTCGGGAGAGAGGGAGGGAGAGACGTTACAATGCTCTTCTGCTTTTATTGTTCAAAGCATTGTTATTTAACTCGCGCTAGCTCTCTCTTTCTCCTCTTTCTCCCTTCGCCCCCCTCTGTTCCTCTCTGGTCAAATTTAAAGAAGGCGGAGGAGAGGGAGGGAGGGAGGGAGGGAGGGAGGGAGCGAGTGAGCAAGAGAAAGTGAGAAAGCAAGCTGCCAGGTCTGGGATTTGAACTGCAGTCAGCCACGTGGGAGTCCAGCATCCTTAACCACCATGCCACCTGCCAGCCCCTCTCTTCCTCTTTTCTCTGCCAGAAGGCAAATCTGAAGGAAGCTAAACGGCGATCCCATCACCTGTCCATGGTTCTAAATGTTTTCATTCTACTTTATTTTGCTTTTTTTTTTTTTAAAAAAAAACAAACATCATTAAATTTTATTTTTTCATTCTACTTTATTTTGCTTTTTTTTTTAAAAAAAAAACAAACATCATTAAATGTTATATATTATCATTTTCTAATCTGACTCAAAAGAGACATGGAGAGAGAGAGAGTGAGAGGGAAAGTGAGAAAGCAAGATGCCAGGTCTGAGACTCGAACTGTGGTTGGTCATGTACAAGTCCAGTGTCTCAACCACCATGCCACCTGCTGGCCCTCTCTATTTTATTTTGTTCTTAAAAAAAGACTTCAAAGCATATAACTGAGTAACTGTACATGGACACGGAATAAAAGCATTTCTCTGGTGGGCAAGCCAGTCTCATGGTGGTTAAGATGGCTGGATCCTACATGGCCAACTATGCAGTTCAAGTCCTAGACCCAGCATCTTGAAAACCACATGAGACACATATGTATGCATGTCCAAAATCCAGCAAGGAGACTAGAGGAGGACTGAGACCACCCCCAAGGGGAGTGCTTTATTATTCCCCCTTTTTCCAGCAAGTGTACATGCATTATAGCAAATTAAAACAAACACATAAATAGAATTCCTCTGGATCAGCTGTGGCCCGGTGGTTGTGAGCTGGATCCCAGATAGCTGGCCACATCGTTTGGGTCCTGGGCCTATCAGCCTGAGGAAGTAGCTGGATGTGTATGCATGCCCGAAACCCTGAAAGGAGGGCAGGTGGAGGCCGAGAGACTGCAGCATGACCAGCCTCACGGGGGCTTTCTCTCTCTCTCTCCAGGTCTCTCTCTGGGGAGTGCGCATGCCCTCTGGCAATTAAAAAAATCCTCTTAGAGCTGGGTCCTTTTTCTAATGGAGCCTGCTAAGTGATAAGAACTCAGCACAGAATTAACTGACAGATGACAAATCTGTGTGTTCTTCACATCCATTCTTTTACCTTCAATTTTTTCTTGCAGTATATCCTCTGAAAAGTCTGAAGCTAATGCAGCCAATTTACTCAAACCAAGAAGGGTTTTCTTCTTTGCAAAGTAACGAGTTTCCGTATTTGCCAAACCCAGAAGGGTGGCATGAGCCTACAAGACATGAAACAGGAAAACCATGGTAAGGTCCTGGACAGCAATTCAAGACGAAATAAAGGTTACGTACACCCCAACTCATTTTCCCCAAAACCGTATCAATTAAAGACAAGTCAGTAATTAGCAAACTTAACATGGGACCAGTGCGGCCACAGTGGGCAACTGCACAGTAACACAGCAAGCAGCACGTTTACTGGGACAAGTGACACGTTCCAGACACCTGCTTGTGAAAATCACATGTCCTGGAACATCCCATGAAGAGCAAGCTTTAACCTTAATCTATGCGCCGTTTTTACCCATAATTTGAGCAAACCCCCCACCCAAAAAAAAAACCTTAAGTACTAATAGCCTACTCTTGATCAGAAGCCTCACCAATAACATAAAGTTGATTAAGACATATTTTGTAGATTATATGTATTACATATTGTATTACTATAATAACATAAGTTAAAGAAAATAAAATCATGTTTCCAGTATTTATTGAAAATATTCACATCTAAGTAGACCCATGCAGTTCAAAGCCATGTTGTTCAAGGGTCAAGTGGTAATTATTTATATTTATGGGGCACAATGCAATGTTATGCTACATGTATGCAATGTGGAATCGTTAAATCAAGATAATTAAAATATTTGTCACCTCGGGGACCAGCAGTTGGTGTAATGGCTATGTCGCTGGACTCCTACGTAGTTGACTGTAGTTCAAGTCCAACCTGGTGGCTTAAACTAACGCTGGTGCGTGTGTGTGTGCATGTGTGCCCAAGATTCTGAGAGGAGAATGGAGAGGGGGTTGTGGCATGGTCATGCCCACTGTGGGGGGTCATTTCTCACTTTCTGTCTGTCTCTGTCGTTCTGGCAAGCGCACGTGCTCTATAGCTAAAACCTCTCAAAAAAAAAAAAAAGATAAAAAGAAAATCTGTCACCTCAAATATTAAAACTTTTCATGATAAGGACATTTGAAATTTATTCTTAGCAATTTGGAAATACACAATGCACTTTTATTAGCTATAGTCACCACGCTGTGAAATACAGCTCAAAAATCTTCTCCTCCTATCAAACTGAAACTCTGTCCCCTTTGACCCAAATCCCTGTTATCCCCAACCTCTCGCCCCTGGCAACTACCATGCCACTCGCTGCCCCAGGAGCAGGATCTGCAGGAGACCCCCATGCTCACTCAGTGTTCTTTCCAAGCCTGGCTTCCTTCACTTAGCATCACGTCCTCCAGGTTCACCTGCGTTGTTTTGAGTGACAGAATAACCCTTTTTAAAAGCTAAATCTTACTCCTCTGTGTATGCACAAATTTACCCACTCAGCTGCTGATGGAACTTGGGTTGATTCTATAACTCAACTATCGTGAATAATGCTGCAGGAACAAGGGTGTGCAGAAACCTCTTCGGAGGTGGGATTGTAGGATCATATGGTAATTCTATTTTTATTTATTTATTTATTTATTTATTAGAGAGATTTTTGGTATAGGGTGCATGCACTCACTGGAGAGAAAGAGACAGAGAAACAAAGTGAGAAATCACCGTCTGGGGCACGCCACAATCCTTTCTCTAGGTATTCTGGGCACACACGCATACATGCTTGGCATGAGTTTCAAGTCACAAGGTCTGGGACTTAAACTGTGGCTGACTGCACTGGAGGAGTCCAACCCGGTGGGGCCCCAGGATCTGTTTTGAGCTTTTGACCTCTGAGCACAGCTTTGGTCAGCTCAGCACGTTGGCAAGGCTGCTGCTGTAAGCCCCCCAACCTATGAGCAAAGCTTGGGTCGACTCAGCATGTTGGCAAGGCTGCTTGTTGTATGCTCGAGAGACTGCAGTAGCCTTTCTGGGAAGCAACCCCCCCCCCGACTCCCTGATATACTACTTTAAAAGAATTACAAAGCTCTCTTATACATCCTGAGTATATGAAAAGATTTCCCGAAAGTTCCCCGACTGCTCCCCTTTGCCCTACCACCTACTGTTAATTACAATGCTTTATCCCTGCAGTCACAATAGAGGGTATGCTGAAGTCACATCTAGGCAGAAATCTTCTTGACCTTTGGAAGGCCCTTCAAGATACATTTAACATAAGCTTAAAAATAACCTTTTAGGCCGAAACGGGCCCAGGACACTCTTGCCCCATGGTAGCTAATGTTCTAACATAATACATAACAGTGGCACCACAGGCACAAAAGAATGCTTAGATATGCCACAAACCCACTTTAAAGTTCATCATTAACTTGTTGGTCACTTTACCGCCAGTTGAAAAAGCTGTATCCCCGCCCTCACCAAGTGAACAATAGCTTCACCCCTTTTAAATAGATAAGTATATTAGGATTCCTTGAATTAAGTTTTAGATCCCTATAACATTATGTAAGTATCATTCTTTACTGAGATCCATAAGAACTAATATCTATACTTGAGATTTTCTTTTCTCAGCAGCGTGCTCAGTAATCACAAGATGGCTACCGCCGCATCAGCTAATACTTATCTCTGCTTGCTAGAGCTGCTTTCCCGAAACTGCATTCCATGAAGACCCACCTACATCAATCGAACAACTGCGGAACTGCAATAGATCCACCCTTAATCCAACCCTAAATGGAACCTATGTTCCCTATTGTTAAAACTTTATGAACTGATAATTAGAACATGTAGCCCCTCACCCATTTACTTGCATGTATCACATTTTCAATAAAAAGGCACGATAATTCCTAGCAGTTGTCACTCTACAGAGAGCGATGTCTGGGGAGTGTCCGACTCAGGACGTGCATGAAAAAGCACCGAGGCCTCCGTCTTCCTTTCCTGTGCTGCCTCTGACGAGAGAACCCACCCCCGCCGAGGCTGGACCCTGGCACTACGTGGTAGTCCACCAACGTCACCATTATGCCACCTGCTGGCGTTTAAATTTTTGAGGAACTTCCACATTGCTTTCCATAATGGCTGTATTAAGTTACGGTCCCATCAACTGTGTATCAAAGTCCTCTTCTCCATACCCACACTCACACCTGTTACCTTTTATCTTTCTGATATAAGCTACTCTGACAGGTGTAAGGTGATATCATTGTGCTTTCAATTTGTTACTTCCTTGATGATTAGTGATGCTCAGTATTTTTTCTACATCTGTTAGCCATTTGGATACCTAATTTGTGAGTGTGTGTGTGCGTGTGTGTTTTAAGTTTGCTCTAAGGTGCATGGGCTCAACAGAGAAAAAGAAAAAGTGAGAGAGCACCCCCTCAGTGGGGATGGCCACATGTATCCCTTCCCCTCCATTCTCCTGGGGTTTTGGGCACACACATGACCACTGTTTTTCAAGTTGCCAGGCCCAAGACTCCAACCATGCACTCGGCCACATGGGACCCAGCCGTCTTAACCCCCATACCACCTACTGACCCTGTGTGTCTGCTTTGGAGAAACCTTCTCTTGCCTATTTTTCAGTCAGGGTTTTTTTTTTTTTCCAAATTTCCTGGAGGTACGTGTGCTCACTGATAGGGGAAGAGAGAGATGGACGGAGGGAGGAAAACGAGAAAGCACTCCCCGTGGGGCACGATACATCGCAATCCCTGCTCCTCCACTTCCCCTTTCAGGATTCTGGGCACAAACAGACACGTGCCTGGCATGTTCTTCAAACCACTCGGTCTAGGATTTGAACCACGTGGTCAGTGAGGTGGGATCTAACTGTCTTACCCAGCAGGTCATGGGCTGGCCCAGCCAGGTTTTCTTTTTCTTTTTTTAAATAATAATTATTTAATTTATTTATTCAATCATTCATTTTTATCTTGACCAGAGTGAGAGACATACACACAGATTGAGAGAGAGGGAAAGTGAGAAAGCAAGCAGCCAGGTCTGGGGACTCAAACCGTGGTCAGCCATGTGGGAGTGTCCAGTACCTTAACCACTACACCACCTGCTGGCCCCGCAGGATGTTTTCTTAAGTTCAGTTCCTTACAAGCTTTAGACAATAGTCCTTATCACACATATGGCTATATATAGTATTTTAATGACCCAAAACTAAACTATTTAGGTGATAACCTAAATAAACTACACATTAGCACCATATTACTGAATGTTCTTACCTTTTCTAGTTCCTGGCTGTTAATTTCATGTAACCAGCTGAGGTGTTCATGAGCTTGCAAGAACGTGGCCAGCTCCCCGTGCTGAGAGATGGGCTGAGATAGCAGTCGGCCCCGCTTCCCTTTTTCCAGATACCAGCGGAAGAGAAAGTCTGAAAAGTTCTACGAGTAAGTCAAGAATCCATCAATATTTAGCGATATGGTTTGTAAAAGTACATCTCTGATACTAAATAAATTCCTACCACAGACCTCCAAAATAGGAACTGTGTATAAATAACTGTCTCCTAAACTATGGGGTCACTGACTGGTTAGCTCATTTGGCAGGGCCCACTCACATACAGAAGTGGGAACCTGCTTTAGATTACTGGCTCAGTTACTGCCAGGATCCAGGTGTGTGCTGGCCAATGTGGTAACCACTGGCGACATGGAATTGTTTAAACTTTAAAATGAAAACCTCTGCTCTTCAGATATGCCAGCTGCATTCCGAATGCTTGAAAGCCACATGTGGCCAGCACGCTATCTTGGGCAATGCATCTAAACAATATCTCCATTGTCACAGAACACTCCACCAGACAGCACCAAACTGTAACATTCCCGAGTGAGAGACCCCAGGGCAATTCTCTGCCAGAGGGCCCACGGACAAGAAAAGCAAGCTGGAGTCTAGAGAGCCAAGTCTTCCACAGGATCTCCCCATAGGACATGTGCTGCATGTTAGGGTGGCATGGAGGCAGGCTAGAACAGGGCACAGGGACCACCCTGCAGCCCGCAGCGTTCAAGAGGCCCTCCCACAACCACAGCCCCCCTCCCCCAGCACAGGTGCCTCCCCAAACATTTCTGCAGCCAGAGGGAAATGAACAGATGGAAGGCTGAGCCCCGGCCTCTGTTTCTGAAACAGGATGATCTGCCTCTCTCTAAACTGCCTAAAAAAAACAGGAGAACCTTCCTAGGGGAAAAAAATAACAGTAGTTTCCACCTTTATGATTCTTCTATACACATTGCCCAAAATACAATAAAAATTTTGCGAGACATAAGAAGGGGAAAAGATCATGAACGAGCAGCATAAGGACGTGACAAGAACGTTAAACAAGGGAAGGAGATAAAAGGGGCTGGGCCAGCAGGTGCTGTCGTGGTTAAGGTGCTAGATCCCACATGGCCAGCCCCAGTTCAAGTCCTGAACTCAGTGGCTAGACAGTCAAGCTGGGATGTGTGCATGCATGCCCCAAATCCCAGAAGAATGAAGAGGAATTGCATCGTGGCCGTCCCCCATGGGAGGTGAGTCCTCACTTTCTCTGTCTTTTTCTGTCTCTCTCTGGTAAAAGCACGTGCCCTACGGCAAAACCCTCAAAAAAAAATTTTTTTTAAATAAAAAGCAAAAATGAAAGTTTTACTTTAGAACTCTTGTGAAATCCTAGCTAAGCCATGCCCAATAACTGGGCATTGATGGAATAAAATAAGTCACCCCCACTCAACGAAATACTGAGCCGCCATTAAAAGTGCTGTCGTAGGTCACGAAATACTGAGCCGCCATTAAAAGTGCTGTCATCTGTCCTTCAATAGGGACACGCAGCTGAGAAGCATCACGTGAAAACAGTTGGCAAAACACGTTTGCTTATGATAAATGGAGTGGAAGGATTATAAACCCAATGTTTAAAGGGGTCCTCTGTGAGTGGTGGAATTATGAGTGGTTTTTACGTTTTGGTTATAAAGGTTTTCTGGGTCTTACACAACACCAATTTTACAGTGAGAAAAAAACAAGCTTCAGTGACTAAGTCGACGGCTTTAAAGAGCGACTTAAATTCACCTGCACAGGGTCGCATGAAAACTTGTTTTAAAAACAAGAAGCAAGAAGTCAAAGCCAAGGACGGCAGGAATATCAGTGTGTGCAAATCTGAACTCTCAAGCAGCTTCTGTTCAAACATTTAAAACTTTAGTGAAACTGACGTACCCGAGGCCTTTTACTTCTCGTCTAACTTAGATACAAAAAGACTGTCTCATGTGCCCAAAGGTCCAGTCATATGTTGAAAGGACCCAGGGCCCACGCGCCCAGCGCCTGTCACCTGGTCCGCGAACTGTGTCATGTAGCGCTGGAGCCTGGGCTGGTTGTCAGTCAGCTCGCACATCTGCACCAAGATATCGAAGTCGCAGTACTTCTCTGCTAGAGAAGCGGCCCATGCAAACTGGCCTAGCGTGACTGTGGGACAGGGAACAGATGGGGAAACTCTGTTAGAATTCAAATACGCAATAAAAAATAACTCCTGAAACTACTTTTCTGATATGTTATATACTAAGAATAATAAATGCAACAGAAACCTTTGGGAAACTCTGTTAGAATTCAAATACGCAATAAAAAATAACTCCTGAAACTACTTTTCTGATATGTTATACTAAGAATAATTAATGCAACAGAAACTTTTCCCATTACCAGCATTTAATTTCAAGATCCACACCAACTCATTGAAGTCACGCACATGCTATTCCCGGCCTCACCGCCTCCCATGTGCCACCCCTTCCTGTGCACGGCAGGACAAGCTCTCCTAAGTCCAGCCTGGGAGCCAGTGGCCTGTGCACGGCAACACAGTGCCTCTACAGTTGCCCTCGGCACGCTCTACCGAGCAGCCTCGGCATTAGCGGGCGGGCTGAGCATTCGCGGGAGGTCTGAGAGCTCTGCTCTCCGAGAGCAGCCTCCATACAGTGCAGACTTACTTAACCTTCTTCAGCATCATCTATGGTGCTAGTAAGTACTGAAAAAAGGCTGAATAAATGAACAAGGAATGCTGGAAGTATCTGCTTCGTTTCTTGGTTACAGCTGGATTAACGCCCTGTACTGAACACACTGCGCAAACGAGGTAACCCGTTCATCCGCTCTGCAGATTCAGAGACCAACAGCCCTGGCCAAAGAGCATGGCCTTACTCAGGGGGGATAAGAGGTCTGATCTCTTCTGCAGGTACTCCGTCTCCAGACTGGTGTATCTCTCATGATCACTGGATCTGTCCAGGGAGTTGAGCTGAGAGACGTAGCCATCCAGGAAGCAATCGATCAGCGCGACCAGCTGCTCCGTCACAGTGTTCCGGAGGCCGCTGTCCGCCTGCGGGTACACCCCTTTCAGGACGAGCCCATGCTGGCGGACTATTGCTGTTCGGATGCCAGCAGGCCCACTTGTTGCTGTAAAATCACACAAAAGAACACGGTCCCTAAAGTTCTAGAATGGCTGGGGGAAGACAAATGGCCTAAGAATGGCCTCACTTCACTGCTAGGAAGTAAACCAGAGAGGGGCTTAGGTGATAGCCTCAGCTCTGGCTTCTCTGTGGGGATTTTCTCGGCCACGGCAGTAAAGGGAGCGCGACCTCCACCCGGCTTCCCGTGATGCTGTTTCACTCTCTTTGTTGTACAACATGAGCGCAAAATACAGTTCACAGTTCTAGGGCCAGGACCTGCTTTTATGAGTAACTACTGGTACTGGAATGTACTGGGCGCATAATAAGCACCAGCTCAACTGATGAACCAGTTACAGGGAGATCTAGAAATCAGCCCCCGGGAATAAAGTGGCTTTAACGGGGAGTGTGCATGTTGGAGACGGCACTCTCTCACTTCACTCACAAACCCGTACAAGGGAAGGATCGGTGGGCGAGAAGGAATTTATTCCAAACGGCGGTTCCTAAGCCAGCGTAGTACCTGTCCATGGAATATACTCCGGCTCTCTCTCGTGTGGTTCTTCTCTGCGGTACAAAGAGCTCCTGTTCTGGCGGTAATGAACAGCAGCCTGCAGCATATCCTGGGTAAAAATGCAACCTGTCAGCATGCGCAGGAAGTGGTGGGTTGCAGCATTTCTGAAGGCAACGTGAAACATCAAAAGCTATTAAGAAGGGGACCAGCAGTTGGCGTAATGGCTATGTCGCTGGAGTCCCATGTGGATGACCATGGTTCAAATCCCAGACCTGGTGGCTTAAACTCACACCAGGCGCGTGTGCGTGCGTGCCCAAGATCCTGAGAGGAGAATGGAGGAGAAGGGATTGAGGCATGGCCATCCCCCCTAGGGGGTGATTTCTCACTTTCTGTCTCTCTGTCTCTGTCTTTCTGATGAGCACACATGCCCTACAGCAAAAACCTCTTCAAAAAAAAAAAAAAAGCTATTAATAAGAAAAAATACACAGCACATGACTGCGGGACTACTTTTTCGTTCTTTCAGCTTTTGAAATGTGCTTTACTCTTCATTTTAACTTCGACTTTGGAAAACTATGGTAACCAAAGTATGAAAATAATTGCTATAAAGTCTGCAGGCCAAAATTAAATGTTAACCTTTTAGTTGGTGTGTAAGTAGCAAGCTTTTGAGTCACTAAAAAAATAGAGATGAGAGCTACTCAGTTTCATTAGCATTAATACATTTGTAATGATATAAACAATGCTCTCCAAATAAAGTTTACTCTGCCAAGCAGAAACTCAGGATTATAAATCTTAATTTGCATAAGGCAAACGTTAAAATTGCCAGTTAACTGATAATAAAATGACTGATACTTCTCTAACTCAGGAATTAACACGTGGCAAAAACCTTATAAATTACTGGCAATTTACCTTATAAATTTACTTTGCCCAAACTGTCCAAATTTCAGTACCTTGAGAACGTTGTTCACGTCGATCACCACCTCAGCCCACTCGACAGAGTCCAACGACGAGCCCTGCAGGACCTGCTCCTCATAATCCAGTAAACATTCACAGATGGTGTCTACTTGGGACACCTAAGGGATGCAGAAGTCGACCACTTACAACAAAATCATGGTGGTGGTTAACAACGGCAACTGGGGCCAGCAGGTGGCACAGTGGTTAAAGTGCTGGACTCCCACACAGTTGACCACAGTTCGAGTCCCAGATCTGGCAGCTTAAAACTCACGCCAGGCACTTGCATGTGTGTGTCATGTGTGTATGTGCCTAAAATTGCAGGAGAACGAAGGAAAGGGATTGCGGTGTGGTCATCCCCTCTACGGGGGACTTCTAAGTTTCCTTTTCACTGTCTCTTTCGATCTCTCTGGCAAGCACATCTGCCCCCATGGCAAAAACCTTAAGAAAATAATGGCAACCACTCAGTGGGTTCTGTTTGTTAAGCTGTATCCTCAGGTCATTAGACACAGAAAATCTGCTGACAATTGACAATGGTGAAAATAAATGTAAGAACCAAAAAAAGCTAGACTCCTCTAACTTATGAAAGACAGAATGCCCAAAAAACTAATGCTTACAAACAAGCAAATTCTGGATTGCTGCAGAGATCTGAACTTCAAACTCTGCATCACTGAAACACTTGTCTGCAAAAGCAGTCAGTGGTCAGAGCAGCCTTTAAACAGCAGGGGCTACACGGAATCAGTTCAATGGACAACCCCAAGCTGATGAAATACAGATTAAAATAGTGACCCAAACTAATGAACTTGCTCATTTTTGTCTGAGAAATTCTTCTTATGACAAAAAGGTTTATAGAATAGCAGTAAGTAATATAAGAAAGTAATGGGGCCAGGGAGTGGCATGGTGGTTGAGGCATTGGACTCTCATATGGCCAACTGCAGTTTGAGTTCTGGACCTGGCGGCTTGCTTTCTCCGCCCCCCCAACACCGCTCCTCTTCTCTCTCTGATGAATGCATATGCTCTATAGCAAACCAATAATAATAAATAAAATAAATATTTTTTAGAAAATAATCTTTTGTTCAAAATAGCGCATGCATACACACATAAGAGACAGAAAATCACCCCAACAGAGTCCTGGGACACCATGACCCCTTTCTCCAGTTCATGGGATCCTGGGCCCTGAGTACATCCAGCACATCTCAGGTTGACAGGGTCAGGGATCCTAACCCACAGTCGGCCATATGGCTTCCAGCACACAGTTAGACCTGGACCTGGTAGCTTGAAAATCATGCCTGGGGCATGTGCATGGGCGCCCAAAAATCCCTAGTGGAGACTGGAGGAGAAGAGACTGTGGTGTAGCCTTTCCACCTGGAGATAATTTCTCACTTTGCAACGTTCTGCCACTGACCCACGGGCAGATCCTGGGTGTGCACCCAGAATCCCTGAGTACTCTGGACACACGTGTGCCCACAGTCTGGCGCTGGCAGAGGCTGGGGGTGGACTGTAGCATCAAGACCCTGCTGGGCTGTCTCTCTCTGTCTCTGTTTCTCATGGAAGTAAAAGAAACTTAAAAAAAAAAAGAAAGAAAGAAAGAAGTAAACAAAGTTTCAGCAAGACCGCTTAAGCATGAACTTGTTTCTTTCTCCCCGGCCTGGGGCCAGTAAGTGGTGCAGCTCTGGGACGCCACATGGAGTGGGCAGAGACAGGCGACCTCACCTCTCTGAAGAAGACGTCCGCTGGAGTCAGGCTGGACGGGATCTCACACTCCCTCTTGTTCAGGGCAATGGAGATGGCCGTGTTCACGAGGTCGGGGAGCCGGGAATGGTGGTTCTTGAGCACGATGGCGGCTGACAACTTCTCAGCATGCTCACAGAGCAGCAGGCGGGTGGCCATCGGCAGCCCTCTGACGGGGAAGGCACCCAGGCGTCCAAACAAGCCAACCTTGCAGAAAACAAACACGAATTCTGAGACTGCGCTACGGTAACACTTGCGAGACAGCCATGTTCCCGCAAGGAGCACCCGGGCCAGCTCCTCTCCCAGCAAGTCTCCCGCCATCTCTTGTCTGGCCATACACACACACACACACACACATATGCACATGCACTCATGTGTATACATACACACATGGACACATACATGCATACACATATACATACACACACATACATGCACACATACACATGCACAGTAGCTAAGGCTGTTAACACCGTAGCGAGGAGACATTCTGCTCCGAGAGCAGGGTCCCTCCAGAGTTTCTGTCGGCTACCTCCATCTCTACCCATCACACTTTCCAAGCATTGTTCACTGTTATTAAAAAGGACCAAGTGCTCTTTTCCAGCCCTTTGGCCGAGTCCCCGAGATTCCAGACCTCCGGGAATGAGAAGATGCTCCATCTCCTCTTCAAGGGCTGATTTCCAGAACCTCCCCCCATGGAGGGGAAGGGCTCTCCAACCCTCCGCACATGCTGCCTCTCGGATACGCTGAAAAGCCTGTTGGGCATGGTCGAAGGTTCTGGTTTTCCTAAGCTTTCTCATTTGACATATTACAGTAATCCAAACTGGGAAAAAGCCACGAGATGGACAGAACAGCTATTTTTCAACAGCCTTTATTTTTATATGCTCCATGGTACTTACACGCGAGAAGACATCGTTTTTAAAACACAAAAGAGGCCATACTATTGATATTGTTCCAGATCCTTCATCATTTGATGGAATCTTATTTTCCTCTTAACACATTTAGAAATTTATTACTCTTAATGACTATTCTATTGAATCACTTCGTCTTACTCAACCTGTTTACTTATTTTAAAATACGAGCAACACAGTCTTTCCAGATGTGAACGCACTTCCCGGCTCCCTCAAACACCTGCTAAGCTCGGCTTCACACAGGCTGTGCCTGCAGCCTGCACGTGCTGCTGCCTGTCATGGCACTGGTGAGAAGCAAGGGTTCGAGGTGAAGGTCTCTCTAGTCCCATGGTGAAGACAAGCGGATTAAGGCCCAGCTTCTGCTCCGCCATCCTACACAATGCCTTTCCTCAGTGCCAGAAACCAGAGGCAAGGCCTTGTCTGGGGCAATGATGGCACCTCCCACCCCTGCACAATGGACGCGGCCTTACTGATGCCACATCTGGCGTGAGGAGAAAAGCAGCCTATATTCAGAAATGTTTCCTCCGGATTATTAGTGTAAATTCTTCCTGATTAGGGAAATAAGATCTAAATATTAGAGGAAATAGAATATAACAGGCACAGGGACCAACAGATGGCATAATGGCCATGTCGCTGGACTCCCACATGGCTGACTGTGGTTTGAGTCCCACACCTGGCGGCTTAAAATTCATGCCAGGCGCGTGTGCGTGTGTGCCTGAAATCCCAAGAAGAGAATGGAGAAGGGACTGAGGAGTGGCCATCCTCCTGGTGGGGTGATTTCTCACTTTTTGTCTGTCTCTGTCTCTCTGGTGAGTACGTGAGCCCTATTGTAAAAATCTCTCTTTAAAAAAAAAATACACATGCGCACACGTGCACACATATATTTATACATATATATGTGTACATATAAACACACATGTATGTATGTGTGTGTGGGTATGTATGTGTGTGTGTGTGTGTGTATATATATTTATATATAAAGCAGACATGGCCAGAACGGAGTTTGGGATCTGGCTAGCCAGACTCTGCCTTGCAAAGACAGTGCTACCAACAGCTACGGGACTCTGAGCTAGAGACATTCTTAATTTGGAGACAATATACATGGGGGATATCCCATACTCCCTAAAAAAAATCAATAAAAAGAGATTACTTTAAAATAAGGATTTGATTCTAATGGCACTTCAAAATTAAAATCCAAATACATAATAACCTGCCATCACCTTAAGAGTCTTCACTACCTTTCTAATAACACTAAATCAACTTACAAAAAAATCTGAATTTTACGTAAATGGGCATAGGAAATCTGTATGAAACCCTTCTTTCCATACGTGGAGGGACAGGCCTTGTCACGGCCCTGGACTCATGTGCTTCTCAGCTACCACAGGAAGTGGGACAACAGGTCACTGTCCACCCAGCAATGGCCTGAGAACAGAGGCGGAGTTCCCACCGTGCAGGGAAACTGCCCAGGGCACCGCAGGCAGGCGTCCCGCATCGTGCCCACAGCCAGGACCTCACCTGGTGAATGAAGTCCATGAGGAAAGCGTGGGCCTTCATCTTGTCCTCCAGCTGGTGGAGGACGATCAGCGACGTGGTGCTGAACCCAGGCGCTTCTGTAAACCCAGTAACAACACAAACGCTGACCGGACTGGTTTGCAATAACCACTACTAGTGAAATAGGAAGTTAAGAAAATCTATAGAGAAGGAAAGCCCCGAAAAAATGATCGATAGCATGACCAGGAGCTTATAAAGCGTAAAGGAAGGTCGGCCAGTAGCGTGGTGGCTAAGGTGGCTGGATCCCACACGGCCCATCGAGTCCCAGTCTGGTGGCTTGAAACACTCGCTGGGTGCTCTGCCTGCACACCCAGAAACCCCAAAGGAGAGAGGCAGGAGAAGGGGCTGCGGCGTGACTACCCCAGCGTGCTCCCTCACTTTCTCTTCTCTCTGGTGAACATATGTGCCCTCTGACAAATTAAAAAAAAAAAAATACAATTCACTGCACTTACTCAAAATGGAAAATATATTTTCAGTGTACTTACTCAAAATGGAAACTATGTTGTTATTTTAATCACTTTAAATTCGACAATTCCAAACCAACAGTGAAAAGAAGGCTGCGAGTGCCACCGCTCTCCCCGACTCCCAGAGGCAGCTCGGTACACTTGTTAATAGCGACAATCAGGGAAGGACTGGGGAGCGACGTATGTAGGACACAGCTCCGCGGCACCTGGCCACCCCAGAACGCCCCGAGCTGGAAATAGCTAAGAGGGCCTCACGCGGGTCAGGACGTGCCGCTCTGTACTCTGAGACTTGCTCACTGCTGCTCTTAGGGTGGATGCACGAGATCCATCCTCCAGAAACACTGACTATGTCAAAACTACCATTTGATTTGGGGGCAAGGCAGTGCCAAACGCCTCCCTCAGCCAACAGCTTCCCTTCAAAATAACCGGCCGAGAGCTGAGCAGGGCCGACTGACCTGCCTCAGGGCAGGAAGGATCTTCTCTCGAGCTCCCTCAGCTTCTGGTCTGTTTTCTAGATCTGGTTTGAGTTCTCTCCAAAAGCTATTATAAGGAAGCTTTATAATATATTCAATTAATAAGTTAATATGAAAATTGTTTGAAAAACTAAAAACGTGCTTTGGGAGATGCTTGTAATAAAAAACCAGAACATTCTTCCCAAACCAATCACCCCGTAATATCAGAACTGCGAGGCTCTTACCCTCAGGGACTGACTCGGCCCACCTCGGGTCGGAAGCCGGGTAGTCGTCCACCAGGTCCAAGCTGATCTGGGTAACGGCTCTGTCCAGCTCAGAGTCCGTATCCGAGGGAGAGGAGAAGAGCTCATCCACCATCATTTGAGCATGACCTACATCTTTTCTGAAATAAAATTGGGAAACACAAGGATAAGGGGGGCAGGGCCTACCGCGAAGTCTCATGGTTAAGTGAGCTGCACCCCACATGGCCGCCCACGGTCTGAATCCCAGCTCTGATCTTTCCATTTTTTAAGAGAGGTTTTGCTATAGGGCATGTTTGGCCACCAAGAGAAACAGAAACAGAGACAGAAAGTGAGAATCATCCCCCAGGGAGGATGGTCATGCCACATCCCTTCTCCTCCATTCTCCTCTCGGGACTCTGGGCACGTATGCACACGCGCCTGGCATGAGTTCCAAGCTACCAGGTCTGGGACTTGACCTGCAGTCGACTACGTGGGAGTCCAGTGATGTAATCCCCATGCCATCTGCTGGTCCTCCTTGCTAATATCTTGAAAAAATAGGTGGGAGTGTGTTGCACGCATGCCCCAAATCCTGACAAGATGAAGGAATGGAAGAGCAAATCCTGGAGTATAACCACACCACATCAGGGGATGGTTTCTCCCTCTCCGTCTTTCTGGTGAGTGCGAGTACCAACTTGGGAATTAAAAAAAAAAAAAAAG